AGCGCCTCCGCGCTTCCCAAGCGGCGCACTAGCGCAGTGCGCCACCGGGCCGGCCCCAATTCTCTTTTTTAAATAAATGTCCCAAGATAATTTTGACGTAGCTGGTCAAGTGTTAAGAAATGACTCTTAATTTACTATAAAGACTAAACATAGCACACAGCAAAATAAAATCCTGGCTATTTTATAGTTACAAAGCTAAGCATGCTTTTCAGGATAGTAAACGTTCCATCAAATCAAATTCTGTTTTATTTCAAAAAATTGTACAGCAAAAATTCTAATCTCACTTTGTCCTTTTCATGTGAGGAATTTGGAAAAGCCCTTTAAATTGATCATAATGGGATTTTATATGTAATTTATACCATCTTCATGAAATTATAATATTAAGTTCAGAGGTAACACAAAGCTTCTAAAGAACGGAGGGTATGTTTATTTTTGCTTCCTTTCTGTGGTGCTTTTTGCTCTGGTGGGCACCCCGTGAGCATTTAGTAAACCTTGCACAAGATTGTGATCCATTTTAATTACTAGGACATACCTATCTGGGGATGGCATGACTTCACCTACAGGCACCACAGATCGCTTCCTTATCCCTTCTGCTTGCAAACAGGCCCCTGTTCTGGAGAAACTGCTCTCCATTAAAGCGACACTTATGATAAATATTGACATACTCTCTTAACTTTTAAATTTTGTGTATACGATTGCTTGTTTTTTTAATGATTTTTTATCAATCAGTAAATGCTAATAATTGGTGCTTATTTTTTAAAGAGGTTAATTTATATAAAATACGTTCTTTTACTAGTATGAAGTACTCCTTTGTGTACAAGATCATGATGATCCAGCCATTGATGTATGTAAGAAGCTTCTTGGAAAATATCCAAATGTTGATGCTAGATTGTTCATAGGTAAGTAACAAGTAAATTCCGTGCCAGCCATTTTATTTTGATAGCAGTAAGATTAAGTGATCTTCTCTGCAGTAAACTATAAATAAAGGTGTTAGCCATCCACTGGAGTTATTAGCATGTTTGCTGTAAGCATGTTTGTTGAAGTAGTAAAAGATGTTTACATCTTTAGAAAAGTTATGAAAACACAAAGACTTTTTTTGTTCATATCTGGAATTAACAAATTAACTCAAAAAATTACATTTTACTCATTAATCAGACATGAGAGTTTGTTATTTTTGTTTAATATTTTCAACGTGTGGCCTTTTCTATATCTTATTAACTGTAATTGTGAGTGTGTGATAGAATTCACTTTTATGTTTGCAAAAACAGTATTTTTCGAAAAGCCTGTCGGTTTATTATAAAGACTTGTACAGGTATATTTGCCATTATTATTTTTTTTTTTTTTTACATAGGTCTGATGTAAATTCTCTATTCCACCTTATTGACCAATTTCTCTATACTGTTTTAATTACCATAGCTTCAAAATGAGTCCTATAGCTTTTTTTTCC